TTGTTTAAATGGGGCAAAACACCAGGACCTGAATGAAATTGTGATGTAGCCCGCCAAACTATTTTCCATCTGCCACAGGAATGTGAGCATCGTGCTTTCCAGGGAGATGTGACGGAGCTCTTTGAACTCTTCCCTGCTGCGATTGAGTGGAAATTTAGATATTAGTATTTAGGGGGATTGCCCAGTCTACATACCCATTGTATCAACTTGGTTTTTTATTTTATATTATTACATACTTCCTGTGTGTAACTCTGCCATACGATAAATAATTAATAATAATCCTGGGGGATTTCCAGGCAAGAAGTGGTTTGCCATTGCCTTTTGCGGGATAGCGACCTCAGCCTTCCTTGGTAGTCTCCCATCCAGCTGACCCTGCTTAGCTCCTAAACTCAGACAAGCTCAAATTAAGCCGACCTATCTGGGCTGCTCCCCAAAAACGAACGGGTAAGATCCTGCTCAAACCACTCCGTTTAAAGGACAGAAACAACAACTCTGGACATTCAAAACCAGGCCAATTTTAAAAAGCCTCAACAGGGCTTCCAAAAGACATTTGCTCTGTCTCCAGGAAAAGGGAAGGCCAGCTGCCGAGAATGCTTCCTGGTGTACAGTTGCGACCCAGACTTGCTTACTATTATCTCACAGCTAACGCATGCAAGGAATGCGCTCTCACGCTCTTTGGCCGAGCAAAACCTTTCCCCCAACTTCCTCAACAGCTTCCTTCTGGACCTGCCCTTTCCTGATACCTTGGAAGCCGTTTCATGCACTTACGAGGCCTACACATCGAACCTGGATGCCCCTCGCCAGTTCTTCCAGCACCAAACCTCACAGACAAACCTCATGAGACAGATGGGATGTTTGCCCCGTCCCTTTACCAGGGAAGGGAAGGGCCAAACGACACAATATTCTGGACACGTGCTGGGTTACAGGTGCATGACCGGACTCACAGACAGACGTACTTTGGGGGAACCTGCTTAGAAAGCACTCATTTGCCCGGTGCTGAAGGGAAATAATCAACAGAGGCATAACATCCAAATTGCAAGATGTGATAGTCCCGCTGGACTCTGCATTGGTCAGGCCGCAGCTGGAGTCTTGTGCGCAGTTCTGGAGGCCTTACTTCAAAAAGGACGTGGACAGAATGGAGCAGGTGCAGAGTAGAGCAATGAGGATGATTGGGGGCCTGGAGACCAAGTCTTATGAGGAAAGGCCGAGGGACTTTCGAATTGGATTTTGCCAGTTCGCACAGTAAAAATCCAGTTGGGAAGTGCACTGAGACTGGACTGAAAGTGGATTATTTAGTGTGCGTGATCACGGCCACAGATGCACGAACACATACAACACAACCAATAAGTTACTGGGGGGCAGGGCTATTTTTGGGCAGGAACGCACAGGAATGGAGTTCCGGCTGGCTCCCGAGTTGGCCACGCCCAGCAGGAACTCATTAGCATAATAGGCCACACCCAACAGCAGAAACTCATTCGGATTGGCTACAATTAGGGGTGCGTGGCCTAACATGCAAAAAGCCCTGGGTTTTGACAACAAACAAAGTAAAGAGAATAAGAAGCAAAAGGTGGGTGTGGCTGGATGACCAAAAGAGAATAAGAAGCCAAAGGTGGGTATGGCTGGATGACCACACTTCTGGTAACATGGGGGTGTGGTCTAATATGCAAATGAGCTGTGCTGTCAGGGGTGTGGCCTAATATGCTAATGAGTTCTTGCTGTTGGGTATGGCCTATTATGCTAATGAGTTCCTGCTGGGCTTTTTCTACAAAAAGAGCCCTGCTGGGGGGTACACCGACCCAAACAAAAAAGTCTTCACCGGCTGGTGAAAGATAACGATAGAGGGAGACGGACGAATCTCTCTGGGGAGGGAGCTCCAAAGTTTCGGCGCCACGACTGAAAAGGCTCTTTCTCGGGTTGCCAACGTATGGTGGGGGCACCCAAAGCACAGCCTTGGAAGATGGCCAGAGTGGATGAGGAGGTTCACATGGGAGGTGGTGACCCTTCGGGTATGCTGGCCCGATGTCATACGGGGCTTCAAAGGTCAATACCGACCCCTTGAACTGAGCCTGGAAGCAAACTGGGAGCCATCGTAATTGGAACAAGACTGAAATGCTGGGGTACCGACCAATGCTCCCTCTAAGCTGTGGAGTCTTGTGAGCAAAAATTCTACTCTGTGAGCTGCTGGCATTAAAGTTGTGAGCGAGCGGTTTGGCCGCTGCATCAATTCGCTTGCTCTGGAGCCCTCCTTCCTGAGCTAAGGCAAAAGGGTGTGGCCTAATATGCTAAAAACTGTGAGCCAGCTCACACTAACTCAGCTTAGAGGAAACACTGGCTCCCTACGACCCGCTGACTGCAGCATTCTGTACTGACTGTAGCTTCGAGGCAGTCTTCAAGAGCAGCCCCACAGAGAACACATTGCAGTAATCTAATCTAGTAATCATGTGCCGCACTGGCCTGGTTCTACCAAGTTGCTGCCCATCCTCCCTTCGACCTTAGCTATGATCCCTAAACCCACCGTCCATTCCTTGACCTTCAGTTCTTGGGTATGAGGCGGGCGGTAGGTGGGGCTCCGAGGACTTTCACCCACATCTATATCAGCGGTGTTCAAATCACTGGAAACTCCTGGAATTGAATTGGGGGAGAAATCAGCATGAGGAAGACAGATTTCCTTCCTGGGGCTTTAACCTCTTCCCCCGCTGCCTGCTTTCTTTCCCCTCTGCCCCTGGGCTGCCCATCTCTACCACAAAGAGAGAGAAGAGATTGAATTCATACCCCACCCTTCACTCAGAGCGGCTTACAATCTCCTTCCCCTTCCCCTCCCCACGACAGACACCCTGTGAGGTGGGCAGGGCTGAGAGAGCTCTGAAATGGCTCTTTTTCGAGCTCTTGTCAGAACTACGGCTTGAGGTAAAGTAACACAAGGGGTACAGCAATGGATAATCACAAAGACAAACAAAACTGCTGCAGATGTGCAGACAATTAGAAAATAGCTGGCCATAATATAGAACAACAGTAGAATTCTAAGATGTTTAATTCTTGTTTTCAGCAAAGAGCGCCATCGAGATGACGTCGAGATGAGCAGAAACGCAGATTACGAACTTCTCGAGTTCTAGCGGTCTGTCTGACCGTCCGATGGAAGTTAAAAATTATTAGTCCGAAGCTGTTTGGAAAAGTTTCTGGATTTAGGAATTCCTTCTTGTGAAGTATTTGTATGAAGAGCATTACAGAACTGAGATTCTGAGATTTGTTTGATAAAGAACTGTATCGAAACGAACACTAGAACTATGGCTTGCCCAAGGTCATCCAGCAGCTGCAAGTGGAGGAGTGGGGAATCAAACCTGGCTCTCCCAGATTAGAGTCCGCGCACTTAACCACGACGCCAAACTGGCTCTCTGTGCCAGTGGGCCATCGCATCGGCTGTTTCCCTTCTCCTTGCTCCCATTCTCTTTGCCCTTTTGCCTCTCCCCCCGCTTTACCCCTCTCCCCGCCTCTTCCCCACCCTCTCGTAACCCGTAGTCGCTTACCAGCATCCTTGCGGTTCCGGACCCTCATGCGTACCCGGCTGCCTGCTTGGCGGAAGACGCCCCCGACGTCCCCATGGGACAGCCGTGCGAGAAGGCCCCCGTCCTCTTGGTGCGAGGGGCCCTCCTCCTGGTGTGGCAACAAGGAGCTGGCTGGGGGGAGAGACAAAGAGCAGGTGGGTCAGCAGAGGTGGAGAGGAGAGAAGGAGACGTTCGGCTTCTGCAGTCTCGGGTCTCGAGGAAAGTGGATGTAAAGTAAAGGTAAAGGTTCCCTTGCTCGAAAGCCAGTCGAATCCGACTCTAGGGTTGCGGTGCTCATCTCCGTTTCCAAGCCAAAGAGCCAGCGCTGTCCGAAGACGTTTCCGTGGTCATGTGGCCGGCATGACTAAACCCCAAGGCGCACGGAACGCTGTTACCTTCCCACCAAAGTGGTCCCTATTTATCTACTTGCAATTTCTTGCTTTCGAACTGCTAGGTTGGCAGGAGCTGGAACTAGAGATTGGAGCTCACTCCGTCTTGCTGCACCCGGGTCTCGAACTGCTGAACTACCGACCTTCCACCGCCTGCAGTTCAGCGTCTTAACCACTTGAGCCACCGCAGCTCAAAAGATGTACAACTTGATTTTTGACTTTCCTGCGTTTTGGTGTTCCTTGAAAAGGGGAGTATTCTATCTGACTGGCCAGGGATCCTGGAGGTTTTTTGGTCATCTTCTGGGCATGGGACAGGTTGGGTTGCCGGCCTCCAGGTGGGGCCTGGAGATCTCCCGCTTTTACGACTGATCTCCAGCCGACAGAGATCAGCTCCCCTGGAGAAAACGGCTGCTTTGAAGGGTGGACTCTATGGCACTGTGCCATGCCGAGGCCCCTCCCCTCTCCAAACCCCGCCCTCTCCCGGATCCACCCCCAAATCTCCCAGGTGTTTCCCAACCCAGAGCTGGCAACCCTAGGAACAGGGGTCACTGGGTGTGTGTGTGGGGAGATATTGTAATTTTTTTTATTTTATTAGACTTCTATCCCGCCCTCCCCACATTGTAGGCTCAGGGCAGGTACCGAGATATAGGTCTGCAGTTAATGCAGATTACAATTAAAGCATATTATCACAATCCATTAAAATCAAATAAAATCACCCCGACACACTAAGGCTGAGGACAGGCTGGCAGTATGAAGCGCAAAGGAGGCGGGGGGGAAAGACCCGGACCAAGTTGTGCTGGGGATTCCGTTGCACTGCACCTACTGATGCGGGCGCATACCGGGGAGGAGGCGCAAGGGAGCGTTCGCACTGTTGGCCTGCCCCTGGCGGAAACGCAGCTGTAAAGTGGCTTTTTTTCCACTCCGGTGACATGCGCCTATGCGCATAGGCGCAGCAATGCGGCTTGTTTGCGGCTTTTAGCGTGCACACTTCCGGGAAGTGGGATCCAGGGTTTTGCTACGGCTTTCACCTGGTACTTTTTTAACGCGGTAGGGAATCGTCATAGGACGGGTTGAGTACGGCTGGGGAACGCCTGACAGCTGTGGCTGTGTGAACCGGCCCCTTTAATCCGTTTGTGAAACGTGCCTCTATCGGGCCAAACTGCCAGTCTGAACTCAGCCTAAGGCTGCAGTCACACACACTCAATAATCCACTTTCAGTGCACTTTCCAAATGGATTTACTGTTGTGAACTGGCAAAATCCAGATGGAAAGTGCATTGAAAGTGGATTATTTAGCGTGTGTGACCACAGTCTAAAACAACAACATGCCTCAACAGATAATAGTGTGGTCCCGATCCAGCTTCTAGGATCTGCGGTCACTGGAGGGGAGGCCAGATCAAAGTGGATGCCCGCTGCCTCAACCTAAAGGCCTGGCGGAAGAGCTCCGTCTTGCAGGACCTGCGAAACAGTAACAGGTCCTGCAGGGACCTGATCTCATAAGGTAGCTCATTCCACCAGGCATCTGTGAATTTCCTGCATTGTGCAGGGGGTTGGACTAGATGACCCTGGAGGTCCCGTCAAACTCTATGATTCTACGGTTCCATCTCTAGTTTCGTTTTTAGGCTTTCACTATACAATCCCCCCCCCTGAGGTGCTTACATTTAGGAATTACCTTTTTTTCATTTTCAAACCTCATCGCTCTGTGGAGGAGGGGGGGGAGAAATCTGACCAGTCTTAATTCTGCCGGCACCAGAAGACACAGCTCCAAGCCAAAGTGCTGCCCCTTTAAGTCCCGTGCGATTTCCCTTAAGGGAGGGGCACACACGGCTCTGGCAGGGGGAGAAAGGAGGACTCAGCCGAGCTTTGGACTCTCTACCAGATGGGAAACAGCCGCTCTTACCGATCCCACAGAACCCAGGCTCGCGTGCCGAACAGAAAGGCTGCTTTTTGTGGGCTTGCGAGCACTGTGTGACTTTGGCGGTTAAGCCCGAACCTGTGCAGGGGCTTGTGTTGCTCTCAGCCTCCCGACCTCGTAGGAACAGGACACAAAATTTCAGCCCTCGAGAGCTGGTTTGATACAAAGTCCAAATGGCACCGCTTCTTTCTATACAAACACGGGGCACAATCCACCGGGAACGTGTTCCTCAGCAAGCCCGACTGGGAAGAATACAAAGAAGATGATGATGAAGAAGATGAAGGAGGAGGAGGAGATTGGATTATACCACAGACACCCTGAGAGGTAGGTGGGGCTGAGAGAGGTCTGAGAGAACTGCTCGTGAGAGAGCAGCTCTGAGATAGCCATGACTGACCCAGGGTCACACCAGCAGCTGCATGTGGAGGAGTGGGGAATCAAACCTGGTTCTCCCAGAGTAATCTGTACAAAGCCCATCCATTTACAGGGAGCGCCAAGATGCAGGAAAGTTGAAATTAAGTTTATTTATTTATTTGTTAGATTTATACCCCGCCCTCCCCAGCAGGCTCAGGGCGGCTACAACAAAGGCAATTGCCATAACAACAGTTAAAACATCATAAAACAATCATTACACAATAAAAACAATCATTAAGTAAAGTGCGGTGCTCTTGATGTTAAAATTTTTATTTTATTTTATTTTTGTAAATCTATTTTCCCTGTGTGGCCATTGCTCCATTTAAAAAGACGTGTCAAATGTGTGTTGGTGCCTACAGTTCTGTCTTTCCCGTACACACAGCAACAGTGGGAGAGAGGCGCTTTTCGATGCAGGCATGAAATATTTCTTTTATTCGACTTATATCCCGCCCTCCCTGCATGGCAGGCTCAGGGCGGGTTACATCAAATTTGATAAAAATACAATATACGCAATTGACACAATTAAAACACTAGTAAAACACCACAATAACCATCATCCGGTGCCGTTGTCATTGACATTAAAACCTCACAGATGCCATCTCTGGTATGCAGTTCTGACCCGCTGACGGCCCAGTAAAGAGGGAGGGACATCCGTCGCCCTAGTTAAAAGCCTGGTGGAAGAGCTCCGTCTTGCAGGCCCTGCGGAACTGTAAAAGGTCCCGCAGGGCCCTGATCTCATATGGGAGCTCATTCCACCAGGTAGGGGCCAGGGCTGAAAAGGCCTTGGTCCTAGTTGAGGTGAGATGGACATCCCTGAGGCCAGGGACCATGAGAAGATGGTGATTGGCAGATTGTAAAGCCCTTCGGGGCTCATAGAGGGAATATACTCGAAAGCAGCCCGGGCTGGCAGAACTGCCAAATCCAATTCCCAAACTACTTTAACGGCATCAACAACAGCCAGGTAAAGTTCACCTGGTAAGGAAGTTCTAGTGCTGGCTACAAATTAAGGACATGCCAGCAGCCTGCCGTGTGTCCAGATCCAGCAAGGGCAACTCGCATCATGTGGAGGTCGGTTCCTGCTGGCAGATCCCCAGATCCCGAATAAGGTCCATGCATGGCAAAGAGTTAACAAAATGAGAGGGGGGGGGGGGGGGGCCAAATTGCGCACAGCAATTTAGACTACGTGCATGGACTAGCTTTAGGGAAACTGGGTCCACACAGCATCCCTTTACAGACGGCAAGTGTAGTGAGATAATAGAGCCAGTTTGGTATAGTGGTTAGGAGCGTGGACTCTAATCTGGGAAAACCAGGATTGATTCCCCACTCCTTCACATGCAGCTGCTGATGTGACCTTGGGTCAGTCACAGGTTCTCTCTGAGCTGTTCTCTCAAGAGCTCTCTCAGCCCCACCTACCTCACAAGGTGTCTGTTGTGGGGAGGGGAAGGGAAAGGAGATCGTAAGCCGCTCTGAGACTCCTTTGGGTAGTGAAGGGCGGGGTCTAAATCCAATTTCTTCTCTCTCTCATCTTTGATTGTGCTGGTTACCTGCTTGGGTGTGGGTAAAGGTTCCCTTGCTCGAAAGCCAGTCGAATCCGACTCTAGGGTTGCGGTGCTCATCTCCGTTTCAAAGCCGAAGAGCCAGCGCTGTCCGAAGACGTTTCCGTGGTCATGTGGCCAGGGATGGGCTAAATCCAGGGCCCTTTCCTCCCATTCCCCCAACAGGTGATCAGTGACATCATACCTGACAATCTGGCAGGCGTGGCGTATGCATGCACGTATGCAACTCACTGGTATGCATGAGAATCTGTGGACTGGTTCTGTTGCCTGTGAAGAGGTACAGTACTTCTGCGACAGGCGCGACTGCAGGAGACGGTGCTCCCATAGGTATGCAAAGCACAAAGCATTTGTCTTGAGCAAATCCTTCCGTAAAAGCTGCCGGTGTTTACCTGGAACCCTAATCTGGAAGGATACATCAGCTATGCTGAAACTCTCGACCCACCCCTGCACATCTATGGGAAGCCCAGGTCTTCTCTTGAGCAACGCTAACCAGAGCTACACCCTAAAGGGAATGGTGCCAATCTCAAAATGCTTCTCCTTCCTCTCGTATAATAGGAACCCTGGAAGTTTTGCAAATTTCTCCAAGTAAATATTTACCCGCCATATCTGTCTACCGGAACTCAGCTGGGCAGTAGAAGGGGAATGCACACACACCCCCTCCACACCAGCACTGACCAGTCTCACAGAGCGGATGCCCCTGTATTCTGAATTCACACACCCAGTCAACTTTCCACTCCTGTTCATTGCATGCAAGGGCTTTCTAAAGTTTCCCAACACCAATGAGATTCTTTAGAGAGCCAGTTTGGTGTAGTGGTTGGGAGAGCAGACTCTAATCTGGGAGAACCGGGTTTGATTCCCCACTCCCCCACGTGCAGCTGCTGGTGTGACCTTGGGTCAGTCACAAGTTCTCCCAGAGCTGTTCTCGAAAGAGCCGCTCTCTCAGCCCCACCTGCCTCACAGGGTGTCTGTTGTGGGGAGGGGGAGGGAAAGGAGATTGTAAGCCGCTCTGAGACTCTTTCGGGTAGTTAAAGGTGAGGGGTATAAATCCAATCTCTTCTTCTTCTCTAGAGTTACCAATAGGGTCTTTGGGACTAGTGTCTCACCTTCAAGGCTTTTCCACAGATGGCAACAATGGCTATTAATGCCTCTTTAGTCCCAACTGAGTTGCTCACCAATGCTGTTCACGGGAAATGGAAGAGACCCCCTATTCGAACCAAGCCATGTTGTTGCCGACGGGATTTTTCACAGTTAATGTTTAGGCACAGGAAATGCAAAAACGAGCCCCGCAAACACCCTTTAGAAAACGATTTTCCACTGTCCTCGGACTTCTGCGTAAACTTTCCCCCTCGGCATGCGGGACTGCACAACACCCTCATTCCAACACTCACACCCCATAGTCCATATATAAGGCTGCAACACGGTCAGACATTCCACAACACACACAGACACACCCCTTTGCAGCCTTTTTCAACCCCAGCTCCTCAAACCAACAGAAGTCTGGGAAAAGGCTGGACCACCCCTGTTCTATACGCAGTGCTGAGGTAGCAACGTCTGAGTTTTGGTGCTGACAGGTGTCACTCACAAATGGGGTTGCCAGGTCCCCCTTGGCCACCGGTGGAGAATTGGGGGGCGGGGGGTTAGGGTTGCCAGATCGAGGCTGAGAAACTCCTGAAGATTCAGGGATGGAGCCTGGGGAGGACAGGGACCTCAGGGGGGTACACAGTGCCTCCAAAGCATCCATTTCCTCCACAGGAACAGATCTCTTGCAGTCTGGAGATGCGTTGTAATTCCACACACGAAGCTGCCTGGTACTGAATCAGACCCTGGGCCCATCAAGGTCAGTATTGTCTACTCAGACTGGCAGCGGCTCTCCATGGTTTCAGTCAGGGGTCTTTCCCTTTTAACTGGAGAGGCCGTGGACTGAACCTGGGACCTTCTGCATGCCAAGCAGAGGCTCTGCCACTGAGCCAGGGTCTCAGGTCAAGGTCTTCCTCATCACCTCCTGCTTGGTCCTTTTAACGGGAGATGCCGGGGATAGAACCTGGGACCTTCTGCATGCCAAGCAGAGGCTCTGCCACTGAGCCAGGGTCTCAGGTCAAGGTCTTTCTCATCACCTACTGCCTGGTCCTTTTAACTGGAGATGCCGGGGATTGAACCTGGGACCTCCTGCATGCCAAGCAGAGGCTCTGCCACTGAGCCAGGGTCTCAGGTCAAGGTCTTTCCCATCACCTACTGCCTGGTCCTTTTATCTGGAAAGGCCGGGGATAGAACCTGGGACCTTCTTGCCAAACAGAGGCTCAGCCACTGAGCCAGGGTCTCAGGTTAAAGTCTTTCTCATCACCTCCTGCCCGGTCCTTTTAACGGGAGATGCCATGGATTGAACCTGGGACCTTCTGCATGCCAAGCAGAGGCTCTGCCACTGAGCCACAGCCCCTCCACTAAAGCAGTACTTTATATATGAACACAGATGAAGGTGCCTTATACTGAATCAGACCATCGGTCCATCAGGATCAGTCTTGTCTACTCAGATTGGCAGTGGCTCTCCAGGGTCTCAGGCAAAGAGGACTTTCTCATCACCTCCTGCCCGGTTCTTTTAACTGGTGTTGCCGGGGAGACTGAGCCTGGGACCTTCTGCACGCCAAGCAGAGGCTCTTCCCCTGAGCCACAGCCCCTGCTCAGACCTGGATCCCACCAGGAGGCTGGCATCCCTGCTTACAAACTCATTCCCAACCTGAAAATTACACAACCCGTGTTCCCTCTAAGCTGAGTTAATTGGCAGTGGCTCTCCAGGGTCTCAGGCAAAGAGGACTTTCTCATCACCTCCTGCCCGGTTCTTTTAACTGGTGTTGCCGGGGAGACTGAGCCTGGGACCTTCTGCACACCAAGCAGAGGGTCTTCCCCTGAGCCACAGCCCCTGCTCAGACCTGGATCCCACCTGGAGGCTGGCATCCCTGCTTGCAAACTCATTCCCAACCTGAACAATACACAACCAGTGTTCCCTCTAAGCTGAGGTAGTGTGAGCTAGCTCACGGACTTTTAGCCTCCAGCTCACACATTTTTGTCTTCGCTCGGGAAGGATGGCTCCAGAGCAGACTGATTTATGCTTGACTGCTTACAACTTTAGTGCCGGTAGCTCACAAAGTGGAATTTTTGCTCACAAGTCTCCACAGTTTACAAGGGAGCATTGTATACAACCCTCCCAGCTGGCATCCCACCCCAAACGTACTCTTCACACTCTTATACTTACGCCCCCCTCCACAAACCACACACCTCCTACCCACTGCAACAACATCTTAGTTCCACTCATTATAAGTAGAGAGCAACACGCCCACCCCTCTCTGGAAGGAGAGCCAGACGTCATTATACCTGTGCTCCCCCCTTTCTGGAATGTAGAATCCTTCTCCCCCCCAAAAAAACCCCCCACAAAGTAAAAGTGGTGGGAGGTTGGTATTTACGTTTGAAGTCCTGGATGTGGCGCAGGAAGGACTGGACTTGCTCCAACATTTTCAGGACGAAGCCGCAGGGAAGGCGGTTAGGGTGAAGGAGGGAGTCGATTGATTCCCCCCCCCTTTCTGTCCCTGCTCTTCCAGGGACACCCCCCTCCCCTCTTCTCAGTCCACCTCTCAGGAATTCCTCTGCTGCACAGAGGCTTCGCCTGATAAGCCAAGGACTTTCAGGGGAGGGGAGGAGATGACCGAGGCTTAACCTGTTCAGAGCCAGGAGAGAGAAGTTGTTGTTCTGCGTACATGGAAAGGTTCCAGGTTACTACACTCTCTCCGGCATTTCCTGTTCCACTTTTCTAAATACAAGACAGAACCGGGCGACAGGTATTTCTTCATACGTGTTCCCGATCCGAACAACACCGCACGCCTGCCCTGACCTACAAACCCCGATGCAAGCCTCGCCTTCCTAGAATTATTATTCCCCCCCCCCGCCCAATAAACAGAAACACACTATAACTTTTCTATTTAAAAGTGGCAAGGGGAGGGGGAGACTCTTATTCTTGAACAGGGGAGCCTATTTCAGCAATAAATGTGTATGAATTTTACACCAGTCGTGACTTGTACCCAGAGGTGCCGGGACTCTCAAGACGGAAATGGAGTTTTCAATCTGTATCCTGAAAACTCACAAACTTTTAAACGTTTTTTAAAAGAATTTTGTCGAAGAGGTTCCAGAACCCTGTTCCGGCGTGTTCCCCCAGGGGAAAAAAAGCCCTGCTTGTACCAAAAAGTGCTGACAATTCTGATGGAAGGCACTGAGTGTTCTTTATAGAAGATTCTCCTCAAGGGTTGCCAGCTTCCAGGTGGGGCCTGGACGCAATGTTCCCTCTAAGCTGTGGAGTCTTGTGAGCAAAAATTCTACTTTGTGAGCTGCTGGCATTAAAGTTGTGAGCAAGAGATTTGGCTACTGCATAAATCAGTTTGCTCTGGAGCCGTCCCTTCCTGAGCTAAGACAAAAATGTGTGAGCCGGAGGCTAAAAAACTGAGCTAGCTCACACTAACTCAGCTTAGAGGGAACACTGGCCTGGAGATCTCCCAGTTTTACAACTGATCTCCAGCTGACAGAGATCAGCTCCCCCGGAGAAAACGGCTGCTTTGAAGGGAGGACTCTGTGGCACGGTACCGTTTCCCTCCCCAAACCCAGCCCTCTCCTGGACCCACCCCCAAAGTCTCCAGGTATTTTCCAGCCCAGACCTGGCCAACCTAATAATGTCCTAGGGGTTTCTCGGAATTATTTTTTTTTTAATCCTGTTCACCTGTAAGCTCAGAAATTCGCAGTCTGAGCATCAGCTTTCTGATGCCCAGTTAGGGATGATACAAAGCAAATCGATCAATTACTTCACATTTTACAGAGTACAAAGGTTGGGTCCAAAGTCTCCCCTTGTGTTAAACATCAGATATAAATGGTATGTTCTCAGTTCCTGCACGTGCAGTCCCTGACTATTGACTTACTTATTTTATTCGTTTGCAACACTTCTTAGCTGCCTTTTTTCCTTAGGGAGCTCAAGGTGGCTTGGGGGGGGGGTACAGATAAAATAAATAAAATAAAATACATGAAAAACAAAATTTAAAACCACAATTTTAAACCACTAGTAACAATCAAATGTGGTCCTAAATCGCAGGAAGAGGCCTTCCTGATTGCCCGATCGATCAAAGAAGTTCGTTTGGTGAGTACAGTTTGGTGCGGTGGTTCAGTGGATTTATTCCCCGCCCTTCACTACGCAAAGGAGTCTCAGAGCATCCTACAAACTCCTTTCCTTCCCCCTCCCCACAACAGACACCCTATGAGGTAAAAGAAGAAGAAGAGATTGGATTTATACCCCGCCCTTCTCTCCCCGAAGGAGTCTCATCTGTTGTGGGGAGGGGAAGGGAAAGGAGCGTGTAAGCCGCTCTGAGACTCTGAGTGAAGGGCAGGGTGTAAATCCAATCTCTTCTTCTTCTTCTACACGAGAAAGGGCCTCTTCAGTGACAGCCCCACGATTATGGAACAACCCTCCCAGGGAGGTCCACCTGGCCCCCTCACTTTCAATCTTTAGAAAGCAACTGAAGACCGTTTTATTTAGGACTGCACTTGATTAAAGCAGTCCTAATTTGAGATTTAAAAATTTTGGTTTGATGTTTTTATGTACTTTATTAACACTGTATGCTGCTTTGAGCTTTGCAGGAGGAAAAGTGGCTAATAAATATTTTAAACCAACAAATAAATAAAATCACCTTCAACGGCATCTTAAAGACCGAAAGTGAGGGGGTCGGGCCCACCTCCCTGGGGCCCCTCTTGTTTGCCCAACAGATGAGCTTCTTTGAGACATGATGAAGAAGAGGAGATTGGATTTATACCTCGCCTGTCACTCCCCGACCCCGAAGGAGTCTCAGAGCGGCTTACAAACTCCTTTCCCTTCCCCTCCCCACCACAGACACCCTGTGAGGCAGGTGGGGCTGAGAGAGCTCTTTCAAGAACTGCCCTTAAGAGAACGGCTCCGGGAGAACTTGTGACTGACCCAAGGTCATGCCAGCAGCTTCATACGGAGGAGTGGGGACTCAAACCCGGTTCACCCAGATCACAGTCCATGCTCCTAACGACTACACCAAACTGGCCTCTCCCTGTCATCTTAATTCCTGGGCAGGAGCATGTGGAAGAAGCCAGTCCTTCATATACCCAGGCCTCAAACCATGTAGGGCTTTAAAGGTCCAAACCAACACCTTGTATTAGCCTTGGGACTTGGTGTTTAGTTAGGACTGCAGTTCACACGGTAAAGGCAAGAATTCACATTTCGCTCATCGTGCCTGCAGATGAGCTGCTTAGGTTAGTGTATACACCAAGCCCATCGAGGTAAGGTACGTAATGTCATAGGATAAAGGAATTTATTCTAAATAGCCCAGCACTGAAAGAAACGATGTGACCAGATCTTGCTCTTCTCCCATTACAGAGTTCATAGACTGAGGGTGGAGTCCCTACCCTCAGCCAGAGGTACCACAATCGCACACAAGTGATGGGTTTTCCTCAACTGCTGGATGCACAGTGGCCAATCAGGATCAGGACTCTCCTTGACAGGGCTTTTTTGGTAGGCCAAGCCCAGCAGGAACTCATTAGCATATTAGGCCACACCCTGACGGCACCACTCATTAGCATATTAGGCCACACCCCCATGTTACCAGAAGTAACCTTTTGCTTCTTATTCTGTTGATCTTGTTTGTGGTCAAAACCCAGGGCTTTTTTTTTTTTGTAGCAGGAACTCCTTTGCATGTTAGGCCACACACCCCTAATGTAGCCAATCCTGATGAGTGTCTGCTGTTGGGTGTGGCCTGTTATGCTAATGAGTTCCTGCTGGGCGTGGCCAACTTGGGAGCCAGCCAGAACTCCGTTCCTGTGCGTTGCTGCACAAAAATAGCCCTGCTCCTCGAAGAGTGTTACGCTCTATGGATCAACATCTCCTGGTGGTCCCTGGCTCCAGGGCTGTCCGTCTTGCTTCAACCAGGGCCAGGGCCTTTTCCGCCCTGGCCCCTGTCTGGTGGAACATGCTCCCTATTGAGATCAGGGCCCTGCGGGATCTTCTTCCGTTCCGCAGGGCCTGCAAGACGGAGCTGTTCCGCCAGGCCCTGATTTGGCTGAGGCAGCGGGCGCCCATACGTGGCCTCCCTGAGGTTGCCGTCTCCCACCCACTGATAGCTGGCCATTAGTCACCTGTTACCAATGGGCCAGGGAACCTCTCACAGCCAGCTGATTTTTGTTTTGCGCTGTAACCACCGATTTTTATGTTAATTGTTGTGTTTTAAATCTTTTAGACTGTATTTATTGTGTTGTTCGATACGATGTTACCCGCCTGAGCTCGCTTGCGGGATGGGCAGGCTATAAATACTACTCTACTCTACTCTACTCTAGATTTGTACGCACGTGGTTTCCATGGCTGCAGTACATGACAGAAGCTGAACGTCTTCCTACAAATACTACTTACTCTTCTTGGCTTTTCTTCCAGCTTTCTATTGTTCACTCTGAGATACATACAAAAGTCTTCTGCATCTAAGACCCAGTTCTAATCTAGTCCTCACACTCGCTTTTCTGACAGAGGTAGCATAATTACCGGCACTTCATGCTCTCCATTATTGGTTGATAAATGTTCAAAAATGTTAAAACAGTTTTTACTGTTACATAATAGACTTTTGAGGCTACTTGATCCTTATCTCTTGTTGTTGCTTGTTGAATGCTTTTGATGTTCACTGTTGTTAATGATCATTTTAAAACGAATTAAATTTTTTAAAAATCATCATAAATACGAAAAATAGATAGATGATAGATAGACAGACAGACAGACTGTAGTGCATGTAGAAAAGAGGATTCCGCTTTCTCCCCTGTGCCGTGTCCCCAACCTGTAACGATCCCAGGTGGCCAGTATTTGGGGGGGGGGACCCCGTGTTCCCTGGGATATGTGTAGGTTCCCTCAACATAGTTCCTCCAGACTATTTTTGGTGCTGTGCTGTCAACAGGCTGAGTGATGCAACCAGCTATTGCAACCAACTCCATATTAAGGCTGTTATGCAACTACACGGAATCTGCT